AAAAAAAAAAAAAAAAAAAAAAAAAAAAAAATATATATATATATATATATATATATATATATATATATATATATGAAGAGGAGAAAAACACGTCTCTGGTCAATGTACAATACAACATGTGAACAACAGTCATTAAAAAAATAAATGGAGTAACAAAAAGTAGAAATTGATGCATAGATCACAAAAACTTTGATGTGCCTATATTTTTTAAAAAAGGCTTTGAAATGGAATGACACATGAAATTTTAGTCACTACTTAGACCTATACATCTCCATTTATTCCATAATCCAAAAGAACAGTACAATCGACGGCAAACAGCTAAAACTTAGGAATGTTGAGATTAATTTTAAGTCGGTGAAGGGCAAGATAAATCTTTTCGTTAACAAGGAAACAATTTAAAAAAAGTACTCTTTTAATTCTGCCAAGCCCCTGGGCAATAATGACAGGAAGAGATGAACCCTAGGGAAAACACTGAGCACCAAGAACTTAAAAATCGGGCCTAGAGAGATGGCTCAGAGGTTAAGAGCACTGTCTGCTCTTCCTAGAGGTCCTGAGTTCAAATCTCAGAAACCACATGGTGGCTCAAAAGCATCTCTACTAGGATCTGATGCCCTCTTATGGTGTGCAGGTGTACATGGAGACATAATATAAATAAGAACTTAAAAATAAATATATACATAATAAATGAACAAATAAATCCAAGCTTTTAGTAATGATATGTTAGTATCTTATAATACTTGTCACTACTTTATGTATTTAGCTACTAAAATCTGGTAATGGAGATGGGAAAGAGGGAGTGGGCAAAAACATTGTGTAGATAGGAATGCCAGGAGAAAATTACAGAATATTAAGAGGCAAGATAAAGTGTTCCACATCTCATGGAACCTTGGTACCTCATTTCTATGAGACATACCTTTTTACAAGTTTTTTCAAAGTTCATATCATCACCAAGAGCAGATTTAGTTACAACATCAGGTTTCAATTCCTGTGAATGAAAACAACATTTTTAGTTAATCTATTAGCACTGTGAGTTAAATTCCTTTGTGTCTTGCTTTATGAAACTTACCAAAAAATGTTAAGTTCTGGAAAGGAAATAATACGTAGCACAGTTAAATTATCATGATACTAGAAAAGCTACAATAAATTCCTTACAAGAGCTCAAAACAATTTAAAGAACTATAATTTTAGAACAATTTAAAGAACTATATAATCTGTAATCCAAAGATTCATATGCAGCCAAAAAGTCTTTAAATATCAAGTCTACAAAAGTAAATACAACAAATAAATAAATACAGTTTTGAACTTGAAGGGATACTACACAAATGAGCCTCTGTAGAGGGTATTCTAGAAGATGAACTTTTCAGCCTGGGAAAAGTCACTTTATTAACAATATTTGAAGGCAAGTATGAATTTACAGGTTAGGAATAACTTTAGTGATACAGAATAAAAGCACTTTAGACAAACTCTATTATTTTGAGTAAAAGAAATTGCAATTGGAAAAAAAAGCAGAGGAGTAGAGGAAGGCTGTAGAGATTATTATTTTATATATCTGGGAGCACAAAGGATGCCATTTAAAACTGCCAGACTCTAAGAAGTATCTCTACATCGAGGACCTCAGTTCTCTTGGTAGCACACACCTATAACCATCTGTTACGCCAGTTCTAGGAGACAGTGCCCTCTTCCGTCCTCCACACTAGGACAGAAGTCACACACACACTTGTATCCAAAATACCCACATTCAGACACCCATCAAAGATGTCTTAGTGGTTAAGAGGAAGAGAGTTTGATTCTCAAAACCACAATCAGGTGGCTCACAACTGCCTATACCTCCAGCTCCAGGGAGAGTTAATAGCTCTGGCCTCGTTAGGAAACTGCACTCACAGGCACAGATTGCCCCCATGATTAAAATTAATAAACCACAAGGCAGGATCAGAGTCCCTGAAGAGAGACTGGTCAATAGTTTGGTCCAGCAGAAGACCCCAGCAGTTTAGAGATGCCAGTACCATGGAACAATCACCAAGACAGCAGCAGCAACAGGAGCAGCTACGGAGTTGAGCTGCCTGAACCTACGAGACAAGATGCATATGATGCAGAGGGTGGAGCTGGAGAAATGACCCCAGCCCTTTGAAGGAGCCAAAGAGAATCTGAGTGACTCCCAGACATTGGACTCTAGGAACTTACAATGTTCGGAATTTGATTTTGCTTTGTTCAGAGCAAAACCTGTTCCCTGGGATCCTCTTGAAATAAAAAAGTACTTATTTTTGATTTTACAGGAGCCCACATTTAAAGAGACTTCGGAATTTTAGAAATGGAATTTAAAAGAGACTTTTGAAGACTATGGGACTTTAAAGTTATTTAAGTTTTATATTTTATTAACTTGTCAATCTTAAGAATAAATGAGAAAGGAAACATTCTACTTGAACAGTGATTTGTGTGTGAAGTTGACAAGGGGCCAAATTGTACTAGCTAGTTTTATGTTAACTTGACAAAGGTTAGCTTCATTTTGGAAGGAACCTCAACTGAGAAAATGTTCCCACCAGACTGGCCTGTGGGCGACCTTGATTTTGCACTTTCTTAATCGATGTGGAAGGGCCCAGCTTACTGTGGGCTGTAGCACACTTGGGATCGTGTGATCTTGGGCGCTATAAGGCAGGCTGAGCAATCCATAAAAAACACGCCAGTAAGCAATAGTCCTCCATGGCCTCTTCATCAGTCCCTATCACCAGGTTCCTGCTCTGCCTTCCTTTAATGATAGACTATGTGGAAGTGAAAAGCAACTTCCTAAGTTGCTTTTGATTATGGTGTTTTTTCCAACAAAACCCTAAGACAGTAGATAACTGAAGCAGTCATGGAACACACATGCAAAAACAAAGACTTAATAAATATCAATAAATATTATATAAATATTATAAATAAATATTATATAAATAATAAGAATTAATTTATATAAAAATATAGAAAATATTTATCTTAATAAATAGTTTTACATAGGTAACACAGATCTATCTATAAACCACTGTCTTTTGTACACATTATTTTTCCAACCTACTCTCTTTCTAGTTAGTTACTTCTCTACTCTGCTTTCAGTTTCACCATTTTAGAAAACACACCTGCTCAAAAATTTTGATGTGCCTATGTTTAAAAGTCTTTGAAATGGAATGACACATGAAATTTTAGTCACTACTCAGACCTTTACATCTCCGTTCATTCCATAATCAAACAGAACAGTACAATCTGACAGCAAATAGCAAAATTAGGAATCTACTCTACACAGTTTCAAGCTAAAATGTACAAAACCTGCATACATATGGAATTTAAAGAACTTTTCTAGAGACACCAACTTTCTTTCATTTTAATTTAAAGTTGCCAATTTTATGACTAACTAGACACAATTATTAAAAACTAGGTTTTATAATAGTTTTAAAAAATACTATGATAAGAAGAACAAATGCTCCTCAAAGCTACAATTTCTACCATAATGTACTTAACAGTTTTAAGGATTTAATAAAACAAGATTTCCTCTCCTGAATTCAACCTCACATCAAAATGATAGATCCTAGATTTGGCTGCCTTTAAAAAGGAAAAGGGCAAGAATGTAAAGGAGATGAAAATTTACAACTTTACTAGAAACTACCAAGGATTAAAACTTGAAACAATTCTCCCTTGGAATAGTTTTATTTCTTTAAGGTGTATTTATTTGATGCCTTTTGACTGCATGCAAGTTTTTACATGAATGGTTAAAAGTGCTTTGGAACTTTCATGGCTATCAGGAAACATCCTCACAGGGTGAAAAGTTCCGGTTTCTAGAATTAGAAACCTTGAAATCATGTTCATGTAGTGCTCTTTGGGGCCAGAGGGTGCCAGAGTCCCTAGACCCCTATCTAGAGTTACTGACAGCTGTACATGCAGCTGCCATGTGGGTGCTGGGAATTGATCTCACGTCCTTGTGAAGAATAGCCAGTGTTTGTAACCACTGAGCTATCTCCTCAGACCACATACATTTTTACAATCAAGGAAAATAGAACTATTGAGTTTCTCTTGCTACCACAAAATATTAATTTCATGAGCAAAGTACTCATGTTTCTAACATACAGAAAAAACAAAGTACATGATTTCCATCATAAAAAATTAACAATGTTATGTTCAAATTGATGGGTGTAAATATTTGAAACTAAGTTGTCTCAGTATTATGTGCTTTTTCTCAGTTGTGAATCTTACAATTTATGGATACATAAAATCACCTATGTCATCATGACTAGAGAGCAGAAGCAAAATAGTTCATTAAAGGAGAGAGGTGAAAAGACGGATGTTAACAGACTTGGGATAATATGCACAAATTACACTGTGTACATTCATGAAAAAGGTCTTCAATTTTAAAAGATCAGTTTAGTGGAATGGAGAGAGGGCTCAAGTGTCAGCAACACTCACTGCTCTTGTAGAGGACCTGGATTTGGTTTCCAGAACACATTCGACAACTCACAGCTCTAGTTTCTGGGGATCTATGGCCTCTCCCAGCCTTCATGAGTACCAGGCACATACTTGCATGCATGCCAACTACCCACACACAGAAAAATAAGTGAACAAATCTTAAAAAAATGTTTAAAGTGTACAGAAACAATTAAAAATCTGCTTCCATTTTAACCTCAGGTTGAGTTCATACCCATCTTATAAGAGGACTTTTGTATCCCATTGTTATTTTCTACAGAATATGCTGCGAATATCTTCATCTTTACCCCTTACACCTTACAAGAGTTATAATAGTATTGCTTGTCCATTTTTTTTTTTTTTTTACATTAATGGTTGAAAATGCTTTGCATACTTTCATGGTTATTAGGAAACATCCTAACAGGGAGAAAAGTTCAGATTTCCAGAATTAAAAAACTTGAAAAATCAAATCAAAACAACAGCCTCTCCCTAGACCCATGTAGCATTTTCTACTAAATCTTTTTGTATCCACTTTTTGTATCCTTTGAAGGAGGCTTAGTGGATGAGTTAACTCCAGAATCAGTTCTTTACTTGGAATCTTGGTGTGCACTGTAACCTAATCAACAGGAGCACTTCTTGTTACCAACACATCCTGCAGCCTGGACTGTTTTCCCCCAGATGCAGTTAGTTTCAGAGAGGACAGACGCCACTCACATTTGAAACATCTGCTCCTATTTAGAAGAGTAAGGTAAAGCCATCATATGCTTGACATAAAAGTCTGTATTACAGGACCTACAATGAAACAATATTAAGGGGTCAGGAACGTGGCCTATTCAAACTGTAAATTGGTGAATTTTAGCTAAAGAAGTTACATTCTAGGAAGCAATATGAAATTTCAATATAGAGATTGTAGTTTTCAATTGATGTTTACTGAGTGAGGAGGGCAGTAAATACTGATCTATGTATATTAACACCAAGATTTCCTGTAGACCATTTCAAAGGTCACAAGACCTAGGGGATTTTGTACCATTTTTAAGAAGCAGGAAGAGTTCTGCCTTTTAATAAATGAAATAGGGACTGGTGAATGTCTCCATGGGTAAAGATAGCAGCAAGCCCGAAGACTTCAATTTCATCCCCTGGACCTACGTCACAGAGAAAGATGGGCTTCAATGAGTCCTCTGACCTTCCCCCATCTGCCATGTACTCGTCATGCAAAAATAAACCAGTCAATAGCATTGGAATAAACAAAATTATGTATGTACATAGTTTCATTTTATATATAATATATATTATATATAGTAGCCTTAGGGCACCAAGGTGACTTGATACAAAGAAGAGTTAGCTTTTTTATCTTTATGTTTCTGAGACTTAACACAAATAAATAATAAAAGTCACTCAGTCATCTTTGCGCCAAACAGATCACTACAGGTGGAGAAAATTAACTGGGAAAGCAGACTCAAGAATTATCTTAAGACACCCTCTCAATACAGCCCATTGTGTTTCCGCTGTCATCTTTTCTAGCCATCTTTTCATGGCATTCCTACTAATAACTTGGGAGGGTGTAGTTCTGGAATCAGAATGGCAGTGCTGGAAAGTGTCTTAGAACTGGTAACATGAAGAGTAAGATGGGGAGATGGGTTAGTGGGTAATGCTGCCATGTTAGAATGAAGATCTGAATTCAAATCCCAGCATTCACATAAAAGCCAAGTGTGTTGCCCTCACTTGCTTCAATTTTATCTTTACTGTCTCCAGATAAGTAACTTGGGGATCTAAAGTTCAGCTACCTTTCCATGAGAAAGTACCTGTAGGGGAGTTTTAATCCAGCCACATGACTGCTCTGCTCACATCTGATCACATCGTAAGACTTTATAGGTCTAGTGATCCAGCTGGAATACAGACTCCCCACATACCTTTAATGCTTCTAGCTGAATACACACCTTTAACCCCTCTGGCTGGAATACAGATATGCCCTTAGTACAAACCTTTGATCCTAAACAATGATGTCTAATTGAGGGACAAAGTAACAAATCAGAGAACAATCTGACAGAATGAGTCAGATATAGGATACACCCAACCCTATGGGAACAAACAGAAAAGAGAAATTACTTAAAAGCAGTGCAGTACAGTTGAGCTGGTAGAGCAGGGTACAGAAAAATACAGAGAAGACGATACAGCAAAGTATGGTAGAGAGGTCATTAGAAAAGACAGTACAATGGACTCAAGTTCACTATTGTACAGTACAATACAGTACTAGCAGTTCGGTGCAATTTTATGAAGAGCAGCTGAATTCAGTTGAGTTTGTGCAGTTTGGTGCAGTTCATTCAGTTCATGGAGTTTAGAAGCAGAGCAAGCCAGTGAGGGAGTTGAGAGAAGCCAGACTGAATCAGCCAGCATGGAGAGGAGTTTGAGTCAGAACAGCTGAGTTGAACCAGCCAGCGAAAGTTCACAAAGAACTAGAAAAGGGCCTTTTATTCAGCAGTAAGCCTCTAAGATGACAATTACATTAGGAGAAAAGTTACTATTATAAGAACCTGTTTCAGAAGCCAGTGTGTACATTAACAATTTAAGAGTCCTAATACTATTAGAAACAGCATCAAAGATGGGACTCATAAAAATTGGAACCTATCATTTTATAGAATCATAAAGACCTGATCTCCCAACCCTTGCTCCTGCCACAGCCAGAAAGAAACTACTCTCATTTCTAAAAATATATTGGGTTTCCTTCATGAGGATGACATCTTGCAACAAAATACCCTATAATCATACCCAGCAACTGTAGGACTGTAATGTCATGAGCACAACTATAAAAATCTAGTGGTGTTTGGGCCAAAAACAAACAAAAAACAAAAAAAAGGTTCTCTTCCAAATTATAATTATGAATGTACTGCTTTGTGGCTATTTCTTTGATACTCCCAAATGTATGAGAATTATTTCTTTACAAAGTTATGAAAAATTTTTCAATTGAAAAAATATTTACTTCTTTCAGAAAAGGCTGACCCTATTAAAGTATCATGATTCAGAAATGAAATTAAACACTTTCGCTAAGTAAATATATAGTTAATCTAGTTATTCTGAATTTTTAATTTAAATGAAATGCAATGTTTGAGTTAATACAAAAGAGAAAAAAAACAAAAGAAAGCAACAAGATGAAATCAGACTAGCCAACTCAGAATACCCTAATTGCCAGCAGGAATTCAAGCACATGTAGTGTGTGTGAATTCAATACAGCCAGTGAGCTGTGGCTCTCTGGGCTAACAATGAGTGGTGACATAACGTGGGAGACAGAGGAACCTTGCAATCTTCTCTGTACTAGGTCTGACTTTCCTGCTGATGAAACAGAAAACAAGAATTCACATAAAGATCATACAACTCCCTAAGAAATGGTATTACTGAGAGTTATAGAACGGAAGTATTTTAATGGTGAAGGAGTTATTTGTTACCACATTCCTTATAGACTGCATACATGTCTTTTTTAGGTACTGAACTCTTCTTAAAAACAAAAACAGCTATTGCTTAATGGTTCAAAGTCTGTAAAAAAACTAAAATTACAAAAATTACTATTTAGAAGAAACCAGAGGAAAAGATCTATCAAATGGATTTTATGCCTGACAGTCCTATAAGGGAGTGACAAGTACAAATAATATTCTTCATACCAATCATTTCCCATACCTGTCCTTAGATTAACTGTATCCTGCTCAATACTTTTCCATCCTTTTAAAAGGAAGAGTGAAAAGCACTGACAATTTAACACAATTAAAATATTGTTAAAGAATTCTCTTGCTCTTTTATCTTACTCAAACTTGGAAGTTACACCAAATTATAAAAGTCAAACATACACAAAATTACCCTGCAATTAAGATAACTGCTGGTACCAAATGCTGTTTTTAAGTTCTACAATAAAAAAGTCTTCTAGACATTTAATGGTATGTCATTTGGTAAATGAAAGTTTCCACAAAGAAAGTTCACTGAGAAGACCAGTGAAGAATCTGGCTGAAAATACAATATGGACCATGTTGGTCCAACACCAAATTTATTTTAAGTTCTACAGAACCTAATAAAATGCTGACACCACCACATAAAAATTTATTGAGCTGGCACCACGAGAAGCATGATGTCAGCCACCAGCATCATCATCCACATTTCCTAATAACAAGAACACTTAACTGCTGACCTTACTTTAGAATACATGCCTAAGAAACAGTCAAAATAAGAGACTTAGGTATGAGGCACGATAAAATACAAGTGAGGTTAGTTTGGCAGTTTTGACTCAAATTAGCCTAGCACTCCAAAAACAGGGAAATAGACAAGCTTACACATTCTGCAGTTTTGCAAATGTGCCATTAATCACCAAACTCAGCTATACAAATAAGCCTTCAGCAACTAAGGAGACCTTAAAGAGGCATCACCCACAAGGATAAGGGCTGCCAGGAGACACACTAGCATACAATGCACACCCACACGCCCTTACCTTCATGGCATGGATTTCTTCAAGCAACCTTTGGGCTCGCCTTTGGTTTTTTAATAGTGCATCTTCAGTGCCCCTACAATATATTCCAAGGGAAGCATTAGTTTTAGAGCTATGTCACGATGAACAGTATTTTAAGTTTTTGAGAGAAGCCTATGTGAAAACACTCTACCCTGTACTGCTGTTTTCAATCTACTGCAGCACACCTGACAGCACCGTGTTGAAAACTGGGTAAGACACACATTATCCTGGAGTCATTCACTGACTAGTAGCTTTTCTTCAGTCTTTTAATGACAAGGTCAGCTATGCACTGTGATCAAAATACCGTATTTAAACTAACATAGCTTAAGATATAACAGTTAAAGGCTAAACATGCTTTTATTAATTAAAAAATTGTTTTCTGCAATTAAAGAAAAAGATGTTCAACATCTGTTTGGTCAGAAAGGAGGGTTATCTTCTAAACATTTATGAAAGAACAGAAAACAAGAAACCACACATTTGAAGACTTTCTAAATACTTTTGTTTAAACCCTAAGAACTGTCACTGGTGCTAGACATAACAAATATTCTTTTATTAAAAAACACCATATGATACATAAAAATCTGAGAAATACGTCCACAAGCTACTTAAAATTTCAATACTAAGCTAAAGAAAGGCTGATGATTCAGGTAGGCACCCTAGACCTATTAATACCTTGAAATAACTTCCAGTTACATAAAATACATAAGGAACTGTGAAGGTAATTTCATTTTGGAAAGGGGAAAGAGAGAACTTTTTAAAAATGGAAGAAATGACTCTGTATCTTATGCAAAGATGGCTCAAAGCACTCAAGGGCATGCTGACAATCTGACAAGGGCACATCGCTCCCACCCAGGTCACAGCTACAAAGAACACCCAAGCGATGGATGCATACTCATCCCTCTAATTTCACAAACATTAAAAATGTTTTGATATCAGTTACAGGATTTCACATGACTAACTTTTTGGACTTCAGTCTACCAACACTTCTGACCAGTTTTCGGATGACCAAAACTCGGATTCGCTTCACTTCTTTTCTCATCTTCACAACCTTTGAGGAAAGAAAGACAAAATTAAAAAAGATTCTTAATGGAAATAAAGGCATTCTGAATGTTAATTCATAGTTAGGTACTAGTTTAACCAAAGCTCTGTTTAATCATGCAGATTGATGAAATCAAGCCCTTTCTGTGACAGTACAGAAATACAACAAGGCTGAGCATGTATGTGCCAGGGACGGAAAGAGAACAAAGTCAGGATTCTGTTTTAAAGGCAGAGTATTTCAGTAATAACCATTTTGCTGTTATATTCTGTTGGGAATGGAACATACCAAATTATGACTGTTCTATAAGAAATTCCTTTGGAGTATGAGACCCAGGAGTCTGATTTACCATTTTTATATCGCATTTTTAACTGTTTTCAGCAGTTTTGGGGCACTGACTGGAGGCAACACAGCTTTCTCGAATCTTTGGCCTTAGCATGCTGCTATTCACCATCATAGCTTTTACTTATACCTCCTCGAGACAGGAAAAGTGTCTTCCCCTGAGCTTGTTAGCATCTATTCCTCCTGACTGGCTCCACGCCATTTCTGAGGATCACAACTTTCACAATACTGCAGATTTCGTATTACTACAATTTACCACAAAATCATTAATATTTTACTTTTAAATAAATTATGTTTGGACTAAAATAATAATGCCTACCGCAGAGGGCCTCTGAAAGACTCTACCCAGCAGTGTATCAAAGCAGATGCCGAGACTCATAACCAAACTTTGCGCAGAGTGCAGGGAATCTTATGAAAGAAGGAGGAGATAGTAAGACCCGGGGAGGCCAGAGCTCCACAAGGAAAGCAACAGAACCAAGAAATCTGGGCACAGGGGTCTTTTCTGAGACTGATACTCCAACCAAGGACCATGCCTAGAGATAACCAAAACCCCTTCATAGATGTAGCCCATGGCAGCTCAGTCTCCAAGTAGGTATCCTAGTAAGGGGAACAGGGACTGTCTCTGACATGAACTCAGTGGCGGGCTCTTTGATCACCTCCCCCTGAGGTGGGGAGCAGCCTTGCTAAGCCACAGAGGTAGACAATGCAGCCACTCCTGATAAGACCTGATAGGCTATGGTCAGAGGGAGGGGAAGGAGGACCTCCCCTATCAATGAACTTGGGGAGGGGGATAGGAGGTGAGGGAAGGAGGATGGAATTGGAAGGGAATGAGAATGGGGGCTACAGCTGGCATACAAAATGAATAAACTGTAATTAATATAAAAAAATAAAAATTTAATAAAAAAAATAATGTGTGCCCCCCCCCAAATTGCATAAAAGTCAAGAATCTTATTTACTCAATGTTAGTTCTAAACATTTAAAATAGTATATGGCAGATACTTGTGGAACAACCAGAAACACAGCATACCTTTTGTTCATTCACTGCTTCAGAAACATACTATATTAAAAGAACATAACCAATTTCTTTTCCACTACAATTGAGCAACAGCTTTTGACTTTTTGTTTTTGCTATAAAACCTTTCTTAGAGGGGAAAAAACAAACAAACAAACAAAAATCACTGTCCATTCACACCAAGTCTTTTAGAGTTTGACTCCATGAGCAGAGGATAGGCACTGTAGCTCACATCTGTAATCCCAATGGTTGGGGTGAAGTGAATGGAAAAATGACAAGTCTGAGGACAGCCTGTATAGCAGGACAGGTCTAAAGCAAGCCTGCACTACAGAATGAGACTATTTCAAAGAAGAAAACACACTAAAAATTGAGAAATGAAATCACAATAGTAAGTTATATTGGATATATTGTAAAATTGTTATTTATAAAACAAAGTACTACCAAGAGACAATTTATACATTCAAATATTAACTAACATTCCTCAGTGCTCAATTTTGCAGGATTATGAAATGACAATATACCACGAACTATTATTAGTCAAACTCAACTAATAAATTACAGCAGGCAGAGCAGGTTGGTCCCTAGTTACATTCTAGTTACAGGAAAGCTAGTCCCCAACTCTAAAACTCCATTGTAAGAAGTGTTATGCTTGACATTACTTGATAAGGAATTCTAAAAGAAAAGGAATGCTTCATATACTCAGTTTCACACCAAGAGAAAACAGGTTTTCCTTTTTTGTTTTAACTTTCTCAGTATCTGTGTACAGGCAACAGACATATTTGGGCAAAAACATGCACTACATATAAAAACGAAATTTTAAATTTTCTCACAACAGCTTACTCTAAATACTTAGCTGTATTTTTGTAAAGCATCACTAGTGGCCATTTTAGTGAGACCATTAAGTTTATCAATTCACTTGTCATCCAGGAATTATGGAGCTATGACAAAGGGCCAGAAACTGGTTCATATTGCATGCTTGTGGCAGAAGGACAATACACTAAGTGCACCACATTTTGACAAAAGCAAAAGCAAGCACAACTAGCTGGCTATGGTGGCACGTATCTACAGGCCTGGCACTTAAAGACACTGAGATTGGGTAATGCAGACTCTGGGGGCTAGACTTGACTACATAGCAAGACCCTTTCTCACACTGAATCTCACACACACACACACACACACACACACACACACACACACACACACAC